ATTACTGCTCTTGCATGATGTTGGTTAAACTACTATGCCCGTATATAGAGAAAATCCAGTCTATCAGGAATATCTGTGAGTCCTTGACAGTACTGATAAAAAAATTACTCACTGGAGTTTGATCCTTGCACACAGTGGCATAATAGGTTCTCTTCTTTTCCTTTTATATTTCACCTGTGCACAGGATCAGAGCTCTGACTGAGTACTCTGGGTATATGTTTATCCTATAGTTACTTATCATTTATGCTGCTATTTGTTGGCTCCTCTGACCAGGTATTATATTGTACTATGCTTTTAGCATATGTGTGTGTGTGTGTGTATAGATATATATTACTTAAGTTGGAAATAAATGTACTCAGTATATGGTAATACCACAGCACTGTTTCTGAAGTAGAAATACTAATAATTTTATGGATGCAATCTAGAGCAAAGATGGGCTGGCTTCCTTGGAGAGGGGGTCCAAATTTTCACTGGTCAAACAAAGGAAGGTGCCATGGGCAGACATAGCCAGGTACCTGTCATGGGCCAACACACAAGCACAACTATGCCCAAAATAAGAATCCTGCTGGAACTGCTCCTCTTCTTCACCCTTACAGTCTACTTACCCTGGCCCAAGCAAAGGTGCTGGAGAGGGAGAGAGAGACAGAGAAGCACTAGATGGCGCCACTGGATGGCTAGAAAAGGGCTGCAGGGCTGCTAATAGCTCCAGGGTAGGCAAGCTCCAGTAAAAGTCAGAAGCAGTCCAAACTCTTATAGGCTGGACTTAGCTAGACAGCACGTCTGGGCTGTGGGGTGTTTTCTTATATTAACTTGTTTAGAAAGGCATGCAGAATGTTTCTGACAAGCAGTGTTAGCAGTTTGTGCTCTCTAGGATATTCTGCTCAAGAACCTGAGGAAAAATGCCACTGGCTCTGGGATTCAAGTCCTAAGGTGTCCATCTCTCCATTTTTTCTGGACAAGGCTGGACTGCAGAGGCTTTCATGGAAACTACCACCTAATTTGGAACAGGGGCCAGTATTAAGATTCAGATACGATGAGCCTCTATCAGATCCATGTATGAATTACTAAGCGAGGCTGTGTGAATCTGTCTATACCTGAGAGCTGGACCAGATTGTGAGCATATTTGGCCAAGGTGAGATTAAAGACTTTGGCCCAAGGTAAAAGACATTTTGGTGCTCTCTGTGCATTGCACAGATGGGCTTGTGGTAGCAGCAGTGTTGCTTGGGTCAGCAAGCATTATTTTAAATTCCTGAAGTAAACATTAGTCTTTGCTAAAATTAGTATTCGCTTATGTACAGACATTTCCCTTTAATAAACAACCTTGTTTAATCATCTCACTTCAAGCTGTTAGACATCATCAATTGTCTCCAATTTATGGTGACCCTATGAAGGAGTGACTCCAGATTGTCCTGTCCTTGACAGCCCTGCTCAGCTCTTGTAGACACAAAGCTGTGGCTTCCTCTATGGAATTAATCCCTCTCAGACTTGGTCTTCCTTCAGCTTTCCCTAGCATTAGCTTTGCTTCATCTCACATCTAACCCTGTTATAGATATGTACTACTAGAAGTTATTAAAGTATTCCATGGATACATGGAACAATCCAGGAGAGGGTGGAGGCATGGCACAGGTGATCTTCATCTCCCCATCTTCCTGCCCTGCAGATTTTGCCAGATGAGCTTTTTAGTAAGGGCACTTTTAAAAGGGAAGGAAGGAAGTAGCTCAGGATATCTATCATCCTGATCTCTGTGGTCACCTCCCCTTTCCTCTTCCTCTGAGGTAGCTTTTCTGGCCTCAGAGAACAGCCAGCTTGGTTCTTTCTGCTCCACCTGTGAAAGGAGAGGGGCAGCTCTCTGAACAACCCTATGGTCCCCTGACCAGGGATGCTTCCCCAAGCACCATAGGATTGCTGTCTAAGAGAAAACATTGGCAACTGAAAAGACTCAGCTTGTGAAGCATGGAGATACAGAGGCAGAAAGTTCCTTATCCCCTGAAATCAAAGCATTTGCTCAAAAAAGGCACCCAATAGGTGAGATTGCAAGGAGCAGTTTTCCAAAGGTTCTGGTGCTGCTGAGATGAAAGTTCCCCTCTGTAAGCTGTGCAGAGAGGGATGGCTGCAATCACATGAGCCTGGCCACCATGGTTTGTGGGTGGAGAGGAGCCAAAAAGTTGTGAAAGGATCTCTCCCACGCTCCTGGCAGAAATGCAGTTTAGAATTAAATTCATTCAGGCAGCCCTTAAATGGATCCTCCCTGACCTCCCAGGATGAAATGGCTCTGCTGGTTAAGTGAAGCAGAAGGGGCTAGAGAGAGGCTCTTCCTCTTGTGTACATCCCATCTGCCACTCCTGCTGCCTCTGCTGCTGCCCTCCTCCCCCTTGGCTGAGCGGGGAAGTCTGGGAGCACCATGACCAAATGAGGGGAGAATTCAGCTGCAGCCACTGGGCACCCTCTCCAGGGCCCTTCCCATGCAACTCATTAAGAAGGGTCAGGGTCAGGTCTTGTAGGCCTTCTGACCCAGAAAGGCTGTGCTTTTAAAGGGTCTGCTTTTGTTTTTTAAACATGTGTCCCAAATTTTGGAGGGGTGAGCCCTCCAGGAAGGGCCCCAACTTCTTTATTATAGGGGATGGGTGCATGCCAAAGCACTCGCCAACATGAAATGGAGTCTGCCAACCAGGGCTTCCTTGGTGATGCACAGCTTAGTGCAGCAGGAGTGAGCTGGACAGAAGAATTAGGAGCACAAAGTTTTGTCTTTTAAAAAAGTTCCTGGGGGCAGAGAAGTTGAGGGGAGGGTGCTGGACAGCCCGGCCAATGACTGGCACAACTGCTACATGTAGGACACCACCACCCAGGAAACCCTTCTCCGCGGGATGCCCCAGCTGGCTTCACAGCAGCATAGCCCTTCCCGTGCTCTCCAGAGACATTCCACAGCAGCCTTTGTGTCATCACAGAGCATCTGGAGACTCCCTCTATTCCAGCACTGGGAAGGCAGGTGTGGTGGTGCTGCATGGACACAGGAGCAGTGCAAAGACATCTTCAGTTTTTCTGAGTTGACAATGTCAGGCCACTGGCTTGTCTTTTCACAGAAGGCTGGATGCTGATGGTGAGTTCAAAGGACTTGGTTTGCGTCCGAATCCAGGCAGGAGTTCAAGCAGTCCATCTACAGCCTTATCCAATGCAGTTGCCATCAATATCCTGACCTGCATATTGGCACTCAGTTCTTTGTCTTCTTGTATCCAACTCCAAATCCCCAAATTATTTCACTCCTAATCTTCATAGAGATGCTGTTTGGTTTCAAATACATGCAAAGAAACAAACATGGCTGGGGAATATGAGGTACTCTGTAGAAAAATGCCAAGTGCACCTATTAAGTTTAGATACATTTCCTCAGTCCATGTGCTTATTTAATCATTGGCAAATTAATTCCCACTTTTCAATAAAACAGTCCTTGATTTGCTCTGTAATGGACCTTCAACTACAATGGATCTTTGCAACCAGCTGTAATAGTTTTTCCCTTTAAGATAATTCACATGTTCAGGACAATTAGGCAAGATGTGATAAACTATTAAGTTATGTATATGTGACCCTGCCAAAAGGCATCCTCAGTGCCACACTTTGTTTCAGAGAAACCTGAATTTGTCAGCTCCAAGTCAAATGCTTAGCCTTGCCTGGGTACCAAGTTATATTCCTTTGATTCAAACAACGAGTAAAAATGGTTGGCTCCACGGGGTTGAATATAAGGGGCTTTGGTCATTCAAAATGGTAAAAATAGATGCCTTGTTCTAGATTAGGGCTTGTGCATGCTAAGGGTACCTCCCCAAAACACAAATTTTCTGGATCAAGAACTGCAAATTTAAACTGGAAGAGCATTGGAAATGCAGATCTAAAGTGCAGGTCTTTTGCTCCAAATTCTAGTGCAACCAGTGTGGTGAAATTTTGTACAATAAGAACAGGAACAGAGCACTATATAACAAGAATAATTTCCTCCATTCAGAATAAAAATGGTATCCTTGGATGAATCTTCAAGGCAAGAATAAATAGCTAAAGACTTGTTTAACTTTCCAATTTACTAAAGGTCATATGCACACACACACACACAAATACCGTATTCTGCCTAGCAGCTCTACATGACTTTAGATCAGCCCCTTTCTCTTGTGCCCTTGAGATGTTCAATTCCCATCAGCCCCAGCCAGCATGGCCAATAGTCAGAAATTCTGGGAGCTGTACAGACTTCCATTTTAAACTTCTTGAGAGAGCTCTTTACAACAAGGGAACTTGTGGCCTTCTGAATGTTTTGGTCTGCAATTCCTGTCAGTCCCAGCTAGCACAGCCAATGATGGTCAGGATCTGTATGTCAGACTTCTGGAAGGCCACTAGTTGCCCGCTGCTGGCTGAGAACATGGAGTGCTGGACTCACAAGAGCTGCAATCCTAGTAAATTTATTTTTGTACAGGCTCCACTGAAATCAATGCAATGCATAGTGGTAGTTAATTCAAGCTCCATTCATTTCAATGTGATTTATATGTAACTGGTTTTAGTTTAAAAAGTTGCCCTTAAAACTTCTAGGATTTATCCATACACTGATATTTTTTATCAATGAATGTCTTTGTCCTTTCTCTATAAAGACCCCATGTTAATTTTGTTTCTTTTGGCTTTAGTCTTCAACATGCCATGCTAGTAACTGGCAGTCTTCCGATACACAATTGCTTTTGAACAGCATTTCTTGGCACATACATCCTCTAATTTTGATCCAGAAGTGAAGTTTCCATAGAGGTGCAATTGTGATGTCATAGTCAAAATAAGATGACTTAACAGTGACCTCAGTGTATGCAGACATCACTACTTATTTTTGCTGCAGAGGCCTAAAGTCACTGTTCTTTTTCTAGGACACAAGTGGAGGAGAGATGGGAAGATGCTTGTGAGCCTTCCTTCAGCATCTCTAACCTAATCCTCTCCAACTACATATTAGCTATAAGCTGGTGCACTACTTCTGAACGCCTTACTCTATGGCTTGCTACAAGCATCTCTGCACAAAAAAGCAGAGTTCCCTAGACACACTTCAGTTAACATCTTTTGTTCCAAAAACGTCTACATTTGAGAATAAACAGCACCTGTAAGTATGGGCTAATGCTTTCAGACATGTCTTTGGAATGGTCAAGTGGATGGAATAGGGCAAGGATGACCAACTTGTGGTCCTCCAATGATGTTAGACTGCAACTTGCATATTCTCTAGCCAACACAGCCAATGGTGAGGGATGATGGGAACTGGAGTCCAACAACATCTGGAGAGCCACAAGTTGCCCACTTTTCCTATAGGGAAAGATTGTCCTGCTAATAAATGTAACTCTGTGTTTCCTTCAGTGTTTTGTTGGTCTGTAGATGTTGCCAGTATTCCATGAGAGATGGAGGACATTTGTAAACAAAGTATAGTGGCAGCGAGTTCTCCATGTATGTAACATGGTACTGCTGTTCTGCTGGGCTCCGATTGCCCCTTACATGGATGCCTTTTGCATGCATTTATTATAAGACGCTACTAAGATAAACTGTGAGGTGGCTAAGAACAGGATGCAAAATTTTAGTTTATTTGTGTTTCTTTATGCACATGAAAGAAGAGAATTGGATTCCTCCTTGGGCAAAAAGAAGAAATTTGTGAAATTAAAAATGGTTTGCTTCCTGTTTTGATAATGATGAAGGTGATGATGATCAGTTTTTATATACTGCCGCACTCACATAGGCTCCGCATGGCTTATAAGAATTTAAATCCAACAAATCTATCAAATCAATATATTGCGCAACTGGTAGATGCTCTTGGGACAGTTTACTCTAGTAAAAAACAAAACAGTTACAGAATAACAACTGTAGCAATAAACACAACAATGGAAATCTTTAAATCTTAAAGTATAGGAATATTAAATAAGAGGACACCAGTCAAATTACTAATCAGATTGTTGGACTAAATGCTAAATGTCTGTTGGAAAAAGTTCTCTAGTTTTGCCTTAGTGCTCTTATCGGATATATGTAACATTGGTGGCATCTTGTTAAACTCCAGTTGTCTGCTGTCGGCTCCCTTTGTATCTCTGGGAGGACTTTCACCAAATGAGAAGCAGATAGCTAAGGTAAGTGTAAGGTAAGCTTTAGTTGACTATGGCATCAAAACCAGAATGAAACTGCTGAATTGTCTCATGGAATATTGGTTCCCACTTGAACCTAACTCGGCTCCGCAAGCCTATTCATGCTTTCCTAGGAGTAAGTCTCATTGACTGTAATAGGATTTAGTTCAGAGCAGGGATGCATAGGATTGCACTTTAGCTTATGGGAATTGGAGACTGAGTTGCATTTTTGCTATAGCTTCACAAAATCTGTACATCTCAGCCCACAATTAAATGGAAGAGTGGCAGATTGCTAGAGATCTGTAGTTCGTATTAAAACTTAATTGCCGCTTGCCTTTTGCCACCTTACCTCCCTGTTGCTCAAGCTGCTGGTCATTCAAAGATCTCCACTCCCACTGGCAGCTTGGATGGCTATTTGCACATCACCAAAAAAAGAGGAAACAGATCCCTCAAAGGAAATAGCATCAACATGCATAGCATCATATTGGCATATGCAAATCCCTAGGTATGCGTGCACATTTAGAAACAATATTTGTTATTGAAATAAAAGACGTTTTGCCACAGTGGGAAAGGTTGACTAGCTGCTCTGCAGGCCTGGTTGGTCTGTTGACCAGATGCTACTTGTGGGTAGGCACCCTCAGGGCCTCCGCTCTCCTGTTTGTAGTGTTTTTTGACTCACTCATGACTGTTTTGGTGTTCTTCAGATGATGGTCCTCCAGCTTTGCTTCTGTTTCTTCAGAATGGGGAAAATGAAATATTATTTCTGAAACCTCTGTTTCTCCCTGTGCATTTGTGCAGTTCTGCTACTGCACAGCTCTACCTAGAAGTTACTATAGCAGAAAAGGAGGAAAAGAAAAGCTCTTTTGTAGAGCTTAGATCGCAGTTCTGTGACAAAACTGGGAGCAGACACATTTATTAACAGCCTCATGTTTAATACTCCCTGAAACCTGGATTCTCTCCACCTGTCCTTGATAGAGTTGATATTTTCAGTATAAGCATCATAAACTTCCTGGGAGAAAATTATTTACGTGTTTGCTTTAAGGTTCTAGCACCTCTGAAGCCACGCTTCTTCCGCAAGCAAGCTGGGCTTACCAATCGCTGGCAATTTCCATTCAGCCCAGACTGTGATCTACTAGGGATTGCACAAGCTGCTAAGGCCAACCGAATTGGTTTCAATGAGACCCTAATGAGAATAATGTCAGGTATGGTGGTAATTGAAGGACTGAGTACTTTTTAAATGAAATGCCTCTTTTGAAGCTTCTGTTGGGTGACTGTGTAAGACTTTGGGCTTTATGGTAGGGCTCAATTTACTTGTACCACTGGCCACAAAATGGTGATCCAGAAAAGATAGTCCTCCAGTATACCATTCTCTTGAACTCTGGTTCTATCAAACTATAATACTGATTTTTGGAATGGGCTGATTGGAGCTACCAGCAATTCAAAACTATTCTCCTATTCTCTTCTGCATCTGGAAAATAACATTAAGTCTAGTTTGATGTCCTGTCCTGTCCCACAGCCAAAGCACTTTGGGTGGTTTACAGCGCTACACAAAAACAATAAAAATACTATAAAATCTAATCAAAGGAAAATTAATAATAGTTTTAAAAACATACACTAAAGAATGACCCTGTGAAAGAAAAACACTTGGGATAGGTATTCCTCCCAAGGCCCTGGGCAACCAAGAATTATCTTGGAGATAGCATCAGCATAAGGGGTTGCCTTAACCTTAAAGATGCCCCCACAATTTCTCTCTGACCTACAATTCCTTTTTTTTTTTAACTTGGAACCACAGTATCTGGCAAAATGCCTCTCCTGGCATATTATGTATGCATCTCCATACATATTAGGATATGCATCCAAGGGCCTTCTCCAAGTGCCTTCTCTGAGGGAAATCTAAAGAATGGCAGCCAGGGGGAGGGCCTTCTTAGTGGCAGCCCCCGTTATGCAACATTCCTTGGTGAGATCCATCTGGCACCAATGCTGACAACTTTCTGACACCAGGTTAAGGCTTTCCAAGCATTCGACAGCATATAACATTTTTACGAGGTCCTGAAATTTTTATTATTGATTGGGCAACCTTGTTTTATATTTCTCTGCATGCAAATACTTTCATGTCACTTTCTAGATTTAGGGGTTTTGCCTTGCAAACTGCCCAGAGAGTAGTGAACAAATGAATGCACACATATGTATGTAACGTACCAGATACGGTGGTGAACATGCACCGCAGCTCTTGTGGCAGCATCCAGGACTGATCCATTCAGACCGCAGCCCATGGTCCAGTATAATTTCAGACTTTTGACAGATTATTACAGCCACATTATTTCAAGAGTAAATGCAAGTGGAATGGTGAGGATGGAGGACCGACTTACTATTATATATAACATACAGGTCATGTTACAAATAAGTAAGATCTAGCCTGGACATGATCAAAGGTTCAAGTGAATATAAAGATGGTACCAGCACAACTGAATGAATTAACTCAGTACTGTCTGGAGAAACCAGAATATGCAACCTATAGTTATTACTGATCCTATCAAACACTGTCAGAAGGGGAAAGGATTATATGGGGGAAAATGCTATAAAGCTAAAGCTGCAATCTCTGCCTTCTTTCTTAAGCCCCTCTGAACTCAACTGGGATAAATATTTAGGAAGTCTGAAAGCCAGTGCATGAAAATAAATTCATGCCCTTTTTCAGCCTGCTCCCAGAAGCTATTATTTTCTTCATTTAAAGCTGTCATATATATTTCTCTGGAATTTTCCCTGCTCAGTCACAATAGTTCTATTTAGTTGAAGAAATGAATTCATGAGCACAGCCTGTGCAAGGCGCATTCTTGCCTGAACCGAAGTGCAAGGTAACCCTTACAAAAGTACCAGTGGCTGTGCTGTTCTAGTCTGCTTTTAGCTACAGATCAGATTTTTCTCTAAGTAAAGCTGAAAATGTCAAATAATCCTATTTGTGGAACTTTTGTAACAGATTTTGCAACTCTGAACATATACTCAGTTTGCTTTCATTTATTAACAATAGACATCAATTGGTATTTATTTATCACAGAGGAAAATACTAAATGAGCTTGTCTGTATGTGTGTTTGTGAGTATGTTTAACCCTCCAGCAGACACACCCATGTCCCTGAAGGAAGAACAAGAGGCCTGGAAGGCAAATGCAGAATTTCGAAAAGACTCTTATGTACACACTTTTTCAGCTATACAGCCAAAACAGAAATCTGGACCCAGGTAACAGACAGATGTCCACATACATGAACATTCTTCATATCACTTCCAAAGGGAAATATACCTTACAGTAGTTGACTATATAGTCACGCAGTACAAAAACATCTCAGGATTATTGGTAGGGGTAAGACAAGAATTCCAAGAGCCGAATAGTCTGGACACTTGATTTTTGATAGTACCAGCCTTATGTAACCATATGCCATATGAAATTTTCTTCCCACTTGGTTAGACTACTTGTCCTTTTGGCCCAGCACTTCTATCCTGACTGACACCAGCAATTTTACACCTCTTTTAGGCCTTAACAATTACTAGAGAGAGATGGCAGGGACTGAAACTGGGACTCTTGGCATAGAAAGAAGGACATACATTTCTTCAAATGTGCAGCATATTCATTTCTGTACAATGTGTATTTCCTAGGATCTGCAGTTTAATTTCCCATAGGTACTCACCTTGTCTGCTACACAGACAGCAGAGTATTTTTCAGTTGCGTCTTGTTGTCCCATTTATTCAGCTCCACAGTAAACAGTGACTTAGTTGTAGGGAACAGGAGAAGGTATAGGATTGCATCGCACTGTGCTTTTGAATCATGCGGCTTTAAGCCCAGTCACCTGGTCCAGCCATGACATCTCTCTTCAGATTCAAGGATACATAAGAAAAACAAAACCACCAGATACACAGTTTATTGAATACAGTGATGTGATATGGTGGAAGATTACAAACAAGCCAAAGAAAGTTTACAACCTCCTTATGCTGTGTTGGTTCCCTAAATAGGCCAGGGGATATTCTTGTGGGCCTCCAAAGCTGCTTGGGTAAGTGGCACATCAGTTCCGCTCCTCAAGCCAAGAACAGAATATCTTGCCATGGATTTTATAAATGTTCCTTCAATACACAAAGGCTCTGACCCACCTTCCTGGGAGATAAGGTGGGCTGAAGTTGCTTCAGTATAGCAAACAGTTTTGTTCTCATAACAGCAGCAGCCCTTATCTACAGAATGACTGGGGAAAGCAGCTCCAAAGGAATTATGCCTGAAGCTCTTCCTAACAAGCTGAAGGCTATAAGGCTTTGGCATGGCTTCAAGAAACTATCCTAGCTTTTGGACACTGAAAAAGTTCTCTATACTATCTGTTGAACATTAGTAACCTCACTATTCTTCTGGGAGAGCCCATCTAATACCCAGGTTAACATGATTTCTAATATTTGTGCTATTTCTAAAGATTTTGAAATGAAATGAGTTGCAGTTGCACTGAAAGGTATTCAGAAAGTTGGGCTACTGTATGAAATTCATGATGGATATCAAAGTGTTCTTGAAAAACAAAACAAAGATCTGGAGTTTCTAATTTGTTCACATAAATAGCAAGTATAACTGGGGAATCCAGATGCCCAGCACTTTTCAATTTACAGTCCCAATCAGGTGAGGGACAGGAAGGAAGCAAAAAGCTTATGCTATATTATTTCACTCAGATTAAACTAGAACAAGTTGTATTGCCAGCACTTTGTAATCACAGATGTAGCCATTTTATATGTACAGACAGAGAACAATTCTAGATATACTTAAATGTTGGTTCCTTCCCCCTCTTTCTTCATTGAGGATTTTCTCCCACCATGGAATCCCACATGAGATGCTTTTTTCTTACACGCAGAAGATTACCGAAGGCATGGATCCAGGTGGGTAGGGCTACTTGAGATGCACAGGCTGCTATGAGCTGCCTCTCACCTCTACAGAAACAACTCGAACTTATACATGCCTTTTCTCTCTCTCCAGATGTCATATTGGACTGCTTGGGCTTCCAATGGGAGCTTCATCGCATGTACTTCTTTAAATCCCAGGTCCTCTCACAGCTTCTTGCTAAGGCTGTATGGGACAGTGACTTAGACATTGCAGAAAGGAAAGCTAAAGGCAAAAAAGGTATTACAAGACATTCCAAAATCCATGTTTGTGTATTTATATATGCACTGAAAACATATATGTTACATGTGTTAATCCAGCATCACATATTTTATCTAGTGGATACACAAAATGGGTTACAACCAAATATTAATAGTAATGTTTTGCACCCACTGCCACTGGTGGTATGACCCACTGCTGTGGCAAGATAAAAGTTCACAGCCATAGTTTGCTCAAATTTGTGGTATAGGGCAAAAATTAGTCCTTGAAACTTGGGTCAGCAATTGATTGGGAAAGAAGTTGGGGAATGACATATCTTTTGGTGGTTGCTATTTCCACGCCTTCAGGCCCAGAATGACCTCGGTACAAATTCATGCCAGAGCATTTGGCAAAAGCATGAAGGAAGCTGCAAAAAATTGACAGCCCCTTCCTGACAGGCCATCAGGGGATTTTTTAATTTTTGTGGTGGGGGGGGCAATAAGGGGATTTTATTTATTCCCCATCTCTATTAAAACTGCCAGCAGGCTTCCATATATGCTACATTGTTTATAGTTTGTCTAACGTCATACACCCTCAAACAAACTTAGTTTGTTCCCAATACTTTTGGCAGGAATCAGATGTTATAAACAGCGTCTGCTAGCTGGCTCGAAAGATAAAGAACAGAGCATATGGAATGAAAGAATGCCTAAAGTGACCATTGCCTTGGAGATCAGTGATCCAGATGTCACTCGATTTGGTGAGATCTCTTGTTAGGGTACCCACACTGTCTTTTTCTATTGAACATGGCTGGGGTACCATGTGGCATTTCAGAGGTTGTTGGATTGCCATTCCCATCCCTGACAATTACCTTTGCTTGCCTGGGCTGATGCGTATTTGATTCAGCAACACCTGGAGAGCCACAGGCTCCCTGGATAGCTATAAGACCCAGATATTAAGAAATGTCTAAGTGCATGAAACCATTCTGGGGGAGTTCCTCCACTCTGAGTAGGGTTTTCTGTGGGAGGCGTTTGCCATACACTCGCCATTCCCTACTCACAGCTGTTTATGTGTTCTTAAGATGACACGGTGACCCTCCAGCTTCACTTCTGTGTCCCTCCAGCTCTTTCCATGAGTTCAGAACAGCCTCTGCAGGGTCTGTTTCCTTTGGAGGAACAAGGCCAGCTCTGTCATTAGACTGAGCCAGGCAACTGCATCAGGAGACATCTTCTGGGGCCTGTCACAGAAAGGTCCTGGTGGTTCCTCCTAAGCCCATGAGCATTCTTTTCTGTTGGAGGACCAGGCAACTTGCGCCACATGACCTGTACTGAAGCCTCAGGAGTGCTGGTGGATGTTATCCCATTACTAGCACTGAAATAACATTCAGCTGGCAGCCCAGTGAGCTTTTGCAGGTGGAATTGGGGAGGGGCGCCAATTGGCCCTGTAGGGGGAACGTGTAAAACATGTAAAAAAATGTTTTTGCATGACTCTGCTATTCTGTAGCATGATCTGCTTTTTTATGATGGGAATGTAGTGACATGAAGCAGCAAGCATACCAGCAATGCTAGTTCCATAGTATAGCACTATGCTGTAATGTCAAGGTAATGATACTATCCTTCTGCTGTGGGAAAATTGTGATCAGGGGAAGGGGGAATCATCATCCAACAGGGCAAACCTTACAGAGAATTCATTTTCAAGGCTTGTACGGTTTTATTTATTCATGCATTTATTTGCATATGTTGTTGATGTGAAGCTTTTGCTATTGCACTGAAGAACCTATACAGTTCTGAACTAGAAGTGAATGAAGATGATGTTCTGGGGATTCTGGCTACTGCAGAGGTGTTGCAGTTTCCTAGCCTTTTCCAGAAGTAAGTAGACATCATACCATTTGGCTTCAGAAGTAGGGACTGGGCAGTGGAATGGTGAAAGATCCTGGCCTTTCTTCCTTTATATGACTTAGCTGTGCAGAATATCAGCTTTTGTCACCCAAAATATTGTGCATCTCAAAGTGGTGCTTGGAAACACACATAGGTACGCATCAATATAAGCGGCACACGTTTATTGATTGTAGTCATCTAGAAAAGCTATGCTGGCTAGCAATACTGGGAGCTGTGTGTGTGGGGCGGGGGTGCTTAAACTTGTACAATATTGCTCCCTAAACACCAGTTAGAATTTAGACTACAGGCAAATGCGTAGAGCCAGACGGCTGACCATTATTAGTAGTCCTGGTGATGTAATGATTATTGGCACCTTCCTGGAGTCCAGCTTCTAGGTCAACTGTATTATTGCTTATTCGCAAAAAGTTCTGTATTTCTTGGCACAACTCCTCTGAATGAGACATTACTACACTGTGAGAATGGTAAAAATATTCCCTCTGTCACCCATCAGAAGCCCCAGTTGACACCCTTAGGCTGCCAAGAGACATGGAATGAATCATCCGGTTTGTTATTTTACTGGAATACTCTCTTGTATTTTTAAAACTACCTTTAAACAAAACAAAACAAAACAAAACAAAACAAAACAAAACAAGCTCTGACCAGGGTTGACACACTAGTTTTTCTTGTCCAAGTCAATTTTATCTCAGAAGCTGTAGAAGTAAACATATTTTTAAAGGAACAGGCATACTTCCCTTTCATATCATTATAGAAGTATGTACATAATTTGAGCATAATAGATTTGCAGGTTCTAGTTCTGCCAGATTTTACAGTTATACAAACAGCATTTCATGGCTGTTCACACTTTTATATGTTTTCATTTTTATTTGCTTTCCCCAGTATAAAGGTACACAATGGTTTACTGTAGAAAAGAGTTGCTTTACTTGTCTGTTTTAGAATTTGAAATACATTCCTGTTTTCTCTCTTCAGAGACTGGGCAAGGCAAACTTATACAATTGGAAGGGTGTGATATGGATTTAAAATCAGACAGGACTGTGTGTATTTCTTTTCCATGGTGATATGTAACAGCCAGAGGTAATGGTGCTAGGTGCAGAAATCAATATCCAGAGAGAGCTCGTAATGTTTCTCTCTCTTTAAGGAAAGTTGCCACATGTAATGAGACGTCACCATAGATTAATTTTCCTACAGATCTTCTCATTGAGGCACTTGGGTGCCTTTTTGAAAAATCAAGCCAATGCAGCACATGGCAGCTGGTCCTTACACATGAACCTACCCAGATTTGTGGGGTTGTAGCAAAGCCACCTGCAACTCTAAAATAAGCTATGGGCCCACTCTGGTTGGGCTCCTGTATAGCAAGAAGCTGCAACTTGAATTCCCAAAATGGCCAACAGCACCACAAAAGACCCTCTGTGGGGAAACTTATCCATGAAAGTTTCTTGTTATCTGCAAACTAGATCTCTTAAGTCTGTAAGGAAGGACTTCAAATTGTGCACCTGATGTACCTGAGGACAATTTAAGGCCAAATTAGATGAGATGGGAGGGGATCTCTCACTGGATCCTCTTTAAAAAACAGTTAAAAGCAAGCTTAGGGGAAGATGGAACTTGCCTGATACTTGCCTTGGAGGGAAATTCCCACACGCACACATTTCTGGGCAAGTAGGCACCAAGTGAGCTTTTAATTAGAAAAGGACATGGAGGAATGGCTTACTTCTGCCTCCTGCCATGTTTCTGCTCTGTACTCCTCTCCCACTATTCAGTTTTTTTAAAAAATGCAGAGAAAAGAGCTTGAGTCCAGATTTCCCACTGGGTCGGCTTTGATCCAAAATAGTCATTATGTAAATCAAGTCATGGGTTTCAACTCCAAAATGCAAGCTTGCTGTTAACAGGTCCTTTTCTCTCGGTGAACATCGAGCAGAGATGATGAGGGGTTAAATTTTCCCTCAGGTCTACTTTGGCCTACAGAGGCGCTTAGAGTAGGCCTTCCTCTCATATGCAAAGTCCCTTGCTTGAAGTGATTTACAAACCCTGCAATCAAATACAAATAGTGTGAGGGATTTAAAAGGCCAATTCCTTGTAATGTTCCTCTGGCAGTGATTCTGGGGAGGAACTGCTGTGGATTCAGCTGTCCTGTATGTGGAGGTGGGGGGAACAGAGCTCAGGTGTCCCAGCTGCTGCAGTGCCGTTGGCTCTGGAGACAGCTTGGCCCAGGCAGTTGGTTGGTGCTGCTTGTGCTTCCCTTTTGATGCCTCTCTACCACCCACTCTCCACACAAAGTCTCATGTACAGCTTGCCTTATTTCCTCCAGGTGTGTGCAGGTCATGAGAAGCAGCATTTGCCCAGCCAATGTCTGTAGCTATTATTCTGCAGGCTGCAAGGTGAGTTGCAAACTCAGTGGATGTTTAAAGATCCCTGTTACTTGTGAGTAGTCAATGTGCTTATATTGTTTTTGGAACCTGTTTCATCAGCGGGCATTTTCAGTGTTTGTGTCCAGTGAAGGTTGTTAGACCTCTGTGCAGCTGGGATGTTTCTCTGAAGTGAGCCAGCATCTCCATTTCCTCGATCTTCCCTCTTTGCCGGCCTGATTGCCCTTTAAGGAGTATTCAGTCCACTTGCTCCATGTATTCCGTTATTTGCTTTTCGGGGCCAGGCCAAGACCTTTTTATTTAAACGTTATTTTAATTGTTAATTTTATTTATTGATTTTAACACTTTTGCCAGGATGTCTCCAATATTTTATGTAATTGTATCGTTTATATTTATTTATGGTTTGGAAGCTGCCCCGAGGCTTATGCAAATGGGGCGGCATATAAGTTCTCCAAATAAATAAATATTCAGTGAAGGGGTGTGTGTGTGTGTGGGAGAGGATTGCACCCTCTAGGAATGCTCACTGAGCATGCTCAGCTAGACCCCTGGTGACTGCCTGATCAGCGTTCATGTGAAAGGGGCCTTCGCACATGCATGCAGTCTGGGGCATGGCCAGCAGGCATGCTGGCCTCAGAGGATTTGCAGGAAATGTTCCCACTGTGCATTCATTGGACTCATGAGCAGTGGTTGTTATCTGAACACTCCTTTCATGGTTCAAGAAGCTAGTTCATGGCAGTAGTTCTTAACGAAATGGCTCTTTCCCCAGGGTTGAAGATGGCAGTCTCCTGCATAATGGTGACAGCAGAGCTGCTCTTCCTACTAACTAACAAAGCTTTATTTTCTTGTGACTTGCAGCTAAATGTGTGGCTTTGTTGCAGTGGCAGTGGTGTCGTGGAGCCTGGGCTTGCAGCACCAATGCTCTTTGATTGGCAGGGACACTGACCTCATCTGCCACTCCTTGCACAGTTTCCTCTAAACTTAGCAGCAGTCTTCACAGAAGATTAATTTCTCAGCAACACTAGATTGTTCTTTGTTGCAATGTAGAGTATTTGCAGTGGCTTGGTCTTGAATTGGACAATCAACTCTTATTAGCATTACAAAGGACCAGTCTTAGCAGATGAACCCTAAAAATGGGTTATTGATACTGATCTGAATAACTGCCTGTAACGTTGGACTCTTCTTGGGGGCATGGCTGTAGGGACTGCTGTGAGGATGAGTTCTGCAGTTCAAAACTGATCACTACTCCACTGTACCATACAGAGGAGATCCTGGGTTTGTTGCTACCATCTGTAGCCTCGGCTCCCATATGAGTGTATCTGTAAGACACATGCATTGCTTGCATCCACATTTTGCATCTATGGGGTACAATTGAACTTTAACTGTATTTTAATGAAAGATCAGTGCATTTTGCTATAAGATTTGTGAAATTCCAGTTTCTGCCACAAGATGACCCCAATGTTCAGAGTTTGATATTGTATCCCCCCCCCCCCCCCGAAAACAGTACAAGCAGCCCTCCTTGATCACCGACTGCGAAAGATGGATAGAAGTGAACCTTGTTGCACAGCTTGGCTCTCAGATTCACCTGCGGAAGCTGCCACTAGAATTACTGCAGAAAGTGCTCAAATCCTCAAGGTTAGATTCATGTGCATTGACATTTTATCAATAAGGATAGGAAGCATTTGTAACACCCCCCCCCCCCACATCCTGTGTATACCTTTGGTGAATATCTGTCTTAAATAGGTAATACTAGTTGTTCAGTAGAAGGTTGTAAACACCCTGCCTCTCACTAATAATCTTTTGCTGTTTCAAGGAAACCCACAGTTAAATATGGGAAGTGTTGTCCCGTACTAAGCAAACTGAAAGGAAGGAGAAAACCGGGATTTGATGTACTGTTAGAAAATTGAGATTTGGGGTTGAGGCATTGAAGCAATGGTGAAAGTGTGCAGAAGGGGAAAGGTACAGAATAGCTGCAATACATGGAGTTCCGTGTTGGAAAAAAAAATCCTTCAAGGTTATTATAGAAAGCCACTTTTTCACCCAACCTAAGAATCCAAAAAAATTAATTGTGCTTTTTTTTTTCTTTTCATGCTTCTAGATAGGGTCTGAAGGAAGAATGTACATTGTCTCTATGGCAAGATAAGTTTCAAATGCATATTTTCTTACCATAAAGTAGGGAGTAGAGTAACTGCTAGTCAGTTATCCATTGGTGCCAACAATTACCTATTTCCTATGCAATGAAAATGGCCAAGTACTTAAAAGCATAATTGTGCAAACACATACCTTTGTACCACCACTGCCTGAAGTTCCAGAGAAAGCATAGGATCAAGGAACGCTCCCAAGCTATGGAACTTCATGGGAAGTACAACCCTTTCCAGAAGAGATGGAATTGTAATCCCTGAGCTAGGCTTTCTCCCGGCCAACAATCCCTTTGTCTTATCTGGGTTTAGCCTCCACTTCTTCACCCTCATCCAGCCCATCATCAAACCCAGGCAAGGTTCAAGGGCTTCAATTGTTTCTTTAGTGTTAGGTGAAAAACAGCAATAGAGCTGGATCTCCTATGCATATTGGGGTCGCCTCACTCCAAATTTCAAATGGCCTCTACTAGCAGCCTTATGTACATATTAAACAAGATGGGGAAAATGTACACCCTTGTGGGACACCAGAGCTAATGCAAGAATTGAGGGGGGGGGGTTAAGCATAAAGTTCCTAGCCCAGGGAAAACTGACAAAAATTACTTACCTGTATTAGCATTCCATGTAGCAAGGTCTGCTTTGGAGACCACACTGGAAGCTTCCTTGTGTAAATGCTTTGTGCTTGGCCATCATCACAGTTAATATCTGCCATTAGCCTTAATCTTACTGACATCAGTGTAATGAAGCTAGTTGCAATTAACTTTCCCGTCTGGTTTCCGTGGGACTTACATAAGCACACTCAATTTTTCTGGACAAGGCCATACTTTTATCACACAGGACAGGAGACAAGCAGTTATATGGAGCACTCAGTCCACCCAGCCTCTGCACTATGACAGCTCTGATCCTCTTATAGCTGCACCAGTTGCCACTCATGTCTTGGAGTTGTTTCTCATCATCAAGAGTTAAAACCTATAAAAGAGAGCTGGAATTGTCATTGATACTGTACTGTTATTTATTGCATTAATAGATGCATATCCCATCCATCAAATTAAAAAAAGAAGATGGTAGCTTATACATGTTTCAAGCTAAAATAATACAATAAATGCAAACACTACAAAAAGAAAAATAAAACATTTTATTTATTTAAAACTTTTGTATGCCATCACCACATGCTTCGGCATCTCGGGACGGTTTACAATATTTATATGCCGCCTACTCTACCTACAGCATCTCTAGGCGGCTCACACTGCTAAAATGCAACAATCTAAAGGAAAAATCCTGGGAAAACATCCCTCTCTTCCCAATGAGAGTATAAGCATGTAGGAGTCAGTCAAGCCTCCCAGGGAAAAGCATTCACAGGCAGAGTGCTACCATCAAAAGGGCTCTCCTTCTGGTCACCAGCCAGCTGGAGCAGCCAGTGAAGGACAATCAATCAGGGCCAGCCCTTCTATGAAGCAAGATGAGGCCTATGCATCAAGGCAGGGCAGGTGGAACAATAAATTGCATCCCTCCAGCCTCAGAAGTAGCCCCAGGTGGGCCCACTGCCACAGCCCTGCCACCTTCAGCAGGTGTTCTGGACAGTCCATTTGCTGCATGTGAGGGAGTGGCCAGAGAGGCTTTCTGGAGCTGCTGCTGCTTTTGTCACATGGAGGCATGAAGAGCTGAATAACTGGGGGAAGGAGATTAGGGGGTGTCATAAGAGTTCCATGTCCATTCCTTCTCGCTGTATGTGATGAGGCAAACAAAGGCAGATGTTAGCAGCAAAGGTAAGGCGGTTGGATGTGGCAGAAGCAATGGTAAGGTGCGTGTGATACAGTAGAGCTGGCAAGAAAGCATATACTGGGCTCTTCCATGATGATCTTAGTCCCTTCCCTGTAGATCAGCACTGCAACAATTTGTGTTTGTGCTCACCACAGCTGAAATGTCATGGATGAACCATGGTTGAGCCACCACTATGCAAGTTTGAATCCAACCATTCTTCACATTTATGCTGGTTGGCTCTCTCATTTCTTAGTTCCAGGCCACCGTCTTTAGATGAGGAATGTGGAGTGTGTGGTCCTCCAGGTGCTGTTGGATTCTAATTCCCATCCAGCCCAGTCAGCCTAGCTCATGGTTGCATGGCCAGAACATCTGGAGGGCCACATGTTCCCCATCCCTGCTATGCACCAAAGGAAGATGCCGTGTTTTTAAATAAGAATTCACATCAAGCCAGTTTTTTAGATCTATAACGTGTAGCTGAGGCTGGAATTGTGCTTTCAGAACTCATTCAAGTGTTCTAAAGTCTCATGGACCACCCAGATAGCTTTGAGTATTAGGCAATATAGACATGAAATTATTAGAAGTAGTAATACATAAAATGAACACATAAAATGAACACATTTTTTATTATTACATTACATTTCTGTACCATCCATAACCAAAGTTCTCTGGGCAGTTCACAACATTTTAAGTCACCCATCCAGTCACCCATTCAGCCTGGTCTAACCCTGATTAGTTTCCAAGATTAAGGAGGCTCTTCAGGCTCTATCTTCAGGCTATATGGAAGCTATAAATCTTTTACTGGGGATAGGCTGTAGTTCAAAGTTAGAGCACATGATTTGCATGCAGGAAGCCCCAGGCTGGATCCTTGCTGACATCCATTATAAATATGATATTGATACAGGGATAGCACAGCTCAAGACCTTGGTTGGGCACTGAAGTGGCCCTGAGAAAGTTTTGTGTCCTAGTTGAGCTAGTTTAGACACAGAAAACCTGATTTAGAGGCCAGATTCTTACTCTCGTCACCTGTCATATGTAAAGAAACTTGTTTCACTCAAGTTAAGTAAGACTTTCCCTGTAATTAGCTTGTTGTCTCAACAAGTTCACTAGGGTACTGGTTTTTATCAGGGAGTAATTGCACTGGCTAGAACAGAGTGCAGTAGTTGTCAGGTCAATATTAACTTTCATTTGAGAAAAACAATTTGTGCACTGGCAAAATCCAAAAAGAAATCAACTGCTAAATCCTATGCCCAACATCAATCAACGTATTCTTTGTCTCCTAAACACTTTTTCTCTGGACCAAGGTCACATCTGAAAAGTCACACTTGCAAAAATAAAAATAATATTATGCATATGGAGCTTATTATGTGTTTTAAAGAAAAATAGCTGTCTCCAAAGCTTAGGTTCAGGAGCTTTCCAGCTGGACCTTTTCAATTCATGTCTTGGGTATGAAATAGTTAATGTTTTTATGCATCTAGATGAAATAAGTGGAGGAGGTCTGTTCCAACACAAAACTCTTGCTTTGCATTTCACTTTTAAACATTTAATTTGAAATAATGCATTTGTATTATTGTTACAAGTATCCAGGGTAGGGGGAATTAGTTTTAATGATCATGTAGAAGAGGAAGAATATAGTGCATACATTTATCTAATATTTTTCCTTAAATCTCCGTAAATCTCAAAGCACTTCATATACATGGGGCTGATTCACACAAACATCCCACTGTGCTGCATGTGTTCACCTATTTTGAATATTCCAACTGCAGCCATAGTTGTCATGTTGCCATGTGAACCCAGGCAGCAGGAGTTGTGCAAGGTTTAAACAACCCTTACATAACCCTAGGCCAAGGGCCATGTGAGGGCTGTATATCAACTGTATTTGTAGATAAAAGAAACCAAAGCTTGAATATTCAAAACCAGTGGTAGGCAGTGACTATGTGAACTAGATTATTTTCTTGATGTAAGAGATGCTGAGCTGATACTCAGATGGCTGATATTACAGGCTATGATATTTTGGTGGAGCAAATGCTTCCTTTCCAACTCTTAGCCACCATGCTATATCAGCTACATCAGTGTACATCCATTTTAAATATTGATTCGACTCACTAGACCTTCGGGTTGAAATGATATTTTAAAATAAGATCTTATTAATACCATTAGTACCATGCAAACCTATCCATGTATACCCAGAAATAAATCCCTTTGACTTCAGTAGAACTTAATCTCACCAAGTACATTTGTATTTGCAGCCGGAATCATGCAGTTCTAAGTTATTGTTGGCTGCTCAAAAATGGACTGATTATATAGACCCAAGGCAATAGATTTATCTCACTTATTAAGAAAAATCCTAATAATTGCTTTCTTAGATGGGAACTTACGAAGTTTCTTCACACCATCTCAGACTGAAGATGAAACTTGATGTGACCCTAACAATGCAATCTGAATCATATTTAAAAACATAGAAACAGAATAAGTCAGAAGGGACCTCCCAGGCTAGTCTGACTGCTGGCTCCAGCCGGCTCTGCTCATGTAATCCCCAACATGTGGTTACAGCACTGAATCCGATTGTGGAAACATCATATGGAACAACCATATAGAAGAAATAAAATAATGGCAGACATTTTCAAAGAGGAACTCTTTGAGGAAGAGCCTGCAATATTTGAAAGTGAAGTGAAAGCTGCTCTAAAAGCACTTGGAAGGAACAAAGCACCTGGAGTAGACAGGATACCAGTAGAACTATTC